ACACACACACACACACACACACACACACACACATGTATATATAAAAATCATCATTAAGGACAGGATCTCTAGAAAGAAAGAAAATAAATGTGTAAATGGCCAAAAATATGGAAGAAATAATAAATCTTACATGTTAAAGAAATACTAATTAAAACAGGGACCCTGCTCTCCTAGCAGATTGGCAAATTTTTATGATTCATCTTGTTTTGGTGAGGGGTATTCTTAGCATTTTATGTAAATCGTCATAGCCATTTTGTAAGGCAGCTCACATATACTCAAAGCTTTCGATTTTCAGAATGTACTTTGATCTAGTCCCATTTCTGCAGATGTATTCTAAACACATAATCACGGGTATGTACACAAATATTTACTGCAGGAATGTTCACTGAAGCAGTATTCCATAAAGGAAGATTTGTATTAGCTTAACTTTTTCCAGAACTGGGAATTGATAAAATAATTATGCTTATGTGTAAATCTGCAATCGTTAAACAAGCAGTAAAATATTTAGTGACATAAAAAGATGATTATGATATAATGTTAAATTTAAAAATGACAGCATAGGTTGTATTGTGTCACAGAAGAAAAGATATGTAAGGGAATGAAAAGGATGGGTAGCAAATATATTACCTTCATCTCTAGCACTCAGATTATGGGTGATACTTCTTTGTGCTGATCTGTTTTTGCTACAGCGTGTGTATTTTTTCTTTTTCATAAGAAAAATGTAGTTTTGTTAAATTTAAAATATTTGTCAGGAGCAAGTACTGTAATTTAAATAAGTACATGTCGTTTTTCCCTAGGCCTAGCCGGTACCTCCTCTTTGACCTTATGCAGTACATCTATGCCGTGGCCTACAAACCCTTTCTCCCATTCCTCATACCCCAGTTTGCCTATCGGTAAGTACAGTGCTCCTCTTGTGCACTGAAAAACAGCCAACCTAATGCACTCGTTCCTGGTGTCTCCCTAGGGTCATGAGAGCGTGTCCCATAAAGTGTAGAGCAGTCTCCAGACCTCGGGTGAGAGCTACTTGGGCGTCCTGAGTTAGCAAGGGAAGAAGCAGCCGGTCTGAGAAGGGAGATGTAGATCAGTGTGGATGAGATAAAGTTGTCTCCAGCTAAAATCCACAGGGTCCGGCTGGGCGGTAGCATGTCCAGGGCCTTAGGTTCCTTCCCCAGCACTGTGAAGAACAAACAACAACTAAAACAGAATTAAAAAGCCCAGAATTTCAATTTGGAAAATTGTCTTGCTTGGCAGATTGTGTAATGGAGTGACCAGATCTCCCCGTTTCCTGCTGCTTGTTCACAAGGCGGAAGGGGCCTTTGTCATTAAACCAGCTTGCTCATGTAGTGGGGAAAGCAGCAAGGCCAGTTCTGGCTTGGCCTTGTGGTTGCCTTCTTTTCCTTCCCTGCTTCTTGGCTCACTTCTTCCTTTCGTGAGTGGGTTTAAAGTCTCAGACCTATCTTGTCACACCCTAGTGGTCTGAACAGGGAGCTTTTCTCTTCCATTATGCCAGAGTGATTTTCAGCCAACACGGCAGTTTACTCCTTATTTATTCATTTAAAAAATACTGACTGAGTGCCTGCTGTATCTCAGGCAGTCCTATAGGTACTCAGGATGTTACAGTAAACCCTCAAAAAGCTTATGGTCTGTAGGGGTATTAGGAAAATAGTCAAGGTAGCTGGGGGTGTAGCTCAGTGGTAGAGCACATGCTTAGTATTCATGAGGTCCTGTGTTCAACAGGATTAATAAAACACACGTACACAATTAGGATGCAGCATGACAGTAGTTATTGGGAATGTTCTCTTTTCCAGGCTTGTTTGTTTGTTTGTTTGTTCAAAGTGCAGGGAGTGAAAAAGAGGGTACAGAAGCCTGAAGAAGGCCTCCACTTACTCCAGCAGAGTAAGAGAAATTGACCAAGAAGGGTAAAGACTTAAGTGGCCAGTGAAGAGCTCTTGGAAACCTAGATACTAAAGGGAAGGAGTTTGAAGGAGAAGGGTGTTTACAGAAGGGGTCCCTTGCAGTTCTGTGCACATCTGCATCTCCAGCACCTAGAACCTGTCCCGGCATAGAGTAGGGGGTCTGTTCATGTTTGTGACTGCAGTGCTGCAGAAAAATCAAATACAATGAAGAAGCCAAAGACGGCCCCCAAGGATGAGAAAGGTCATTTGAATGGGAGGTTTAAGGTAGCAGCAGCTGTAGACCAGGTTGCCGGGAGCCTTCGTGGTTGTGCGTAAAATTGAGAGTTAAAGTCAGGGTTGGCATTGCGTGTGGCATGGCCCACTGAGGGCCCTGGCATAGAGCGCAGGGGTGATCTGTTGGGTGGAAACAGCATGGAGAGTGGAGGCTTGTGAGGGGTAAGTACCCCTTTATTTTATTTTTTTTTAATTAAAAGCTATGTTAGCCCTGTAAGTCATCTTTTTTGGCCATTGGGACAGGTTGACTGGAATCAGAGATGTTATGTTGCTAGAGAAATTCTGACCAGTCTTAGCCCTCCTTTTTCATTTATTTCTTCTGTGGAAATGCTGTTTCTTGAGCTTTCACAAAGCGGTGGATCTTGCTGTTGGCTGAGTGCCTGTGTGTAGAGCAGGTGAGGTAGATGGGTGAAAAGCAGGGCTCTCCTGGCAGTGGTGCTGGTGCTCTGCAGAGCAGACTTCTGGCCGCGTCTGGGGGTCTGTGGGGCCCAGGACTCCCACCCTCCACACCCTGAGGCTGCTCCCCACAGGAACAGGAACCCAATGAGCGAAGGAAAACCTGCCACTGTCACTGGCGCTGCAGAGAACGCAGTGATTTAACCTGGGAGCCTCTGGGCTTCGAATTCTTCTCCTGACTTGAATCATAGACCTTCAGCTTCTCTTGCTGTCTGCTGCTTTTCAGGCTTATGCGGTCTGTTTTCCATACTGCTCAGCTTGCCCTGCATCCTGAGTAACAGGATATTTGAATGTCTCAGGCTTAGATTAAATTAGATTTCACGGACTTCGTGAGTGTTGGATTGTTTTGGGATTGTTTTGTTGTTTGTTGGTAATATTTCATTTTAGTGTTTTTTATTTGGTTTTAGGGTTTAGTTTTAAGATCAGTTGTCTCTCTGAAACACAGGGTGAGTCCTCATTTCCACCCATCAGCTGGGTTGTCTTCAAAGGGAGCAGGAACTCAGAGGATGTGGTGGCCTCACAGGTAATGGAGCCAAGATGTCATTTATTTTTAAAAAAATGCAGGGAGGCCTGGTCTTGCATGCCTGCGATCCCAGCACTTGGGAGGCTGAGGCAGGAGGATTGCCAAGAGTTTGAAGCCAACTTGGCTTACGTAGTGAGTTCAAGGCCAGCCTGAACTACATAGACCTTGTTTCAAAAAAAAAAAAAAAAAAATTCAGTGAATTCCTGCCTGTGCAGCAGCCCCTCTTCCTGTGGGTCTTATGGGCAGAGTAATGCTTATTCCTTTTTGCAGCTTGGTGGCGAGGCTCTTTGAGATGAGCCCATTCGAGCCCTGGACCACGCGGGATAAAGTGGAGCAGGTGAGTCTGGCTGTGGGAGCTCACGGAAGTCCTCTGTTCGAGTCTGCTCCCTTCTCTCCCTGCTGGGTTGTGCCAGTTGGGACTCGCGTGTGCCTCGTGGTCCCTCCCACCCTCGTTGGAGCCAGCCTCTCCTCCCCTGTCCCTCTGGCCACTTTGTGTCCGTCTGTGTTCCTTATACCCCAAGCTCAAAGGCGCTGTCTGCACTTCTGTGGCAGCTTCTTGCCCCGTTCTCCCTGCAGCCCACTTCAGTCAGTTCCCTTCTGCCCTGGAACTGGTTTTCTAGAGTTGCCCCTGACTTCTGTTCTGGCAAATCTGGAGGTCAGGCATCTGACCTCATCTCCTTCTGTCTGAGGGCAGCGGGGTCAGCGGGGACCTTCTCTTGTTTCAGATACCCCGCCTCTCTGCCCTTGTTTCCCTCCTCTTGCTGTTAAGGCCACCCTCCTGCAGCTCCCTCCCTGCCCGCTCCCTCCCTGCCTCCTCCATCTGCACCGTTTTCTGAGTGATGTTCACCACGCCCTGCACTGCATCTGTGACTGTGGAGGTCACGGCTGTGTCTCTCCGGGCCTCAGTGTCCTCCCTGAGTTTTGAGTCCTCTGCCTGATGGGGTTACATAGGCTGTGTTTTTCTGAAACTAATATGTGCATCAGTAGAATGCAGACCTGCTCCTCTCCTGAGCTCCCCTTCTTGGGGAGCGTCCTGTTCTCCCCTGCTTGTGCTAAAAATCTAGGAGCCCTGCTGTTCTTGTTTCCCAGTCTAGCTGTGCACCAGCCCGCCCCTCAGTGCTCCGCAGGGAGGGTTGCCCCGTGTCTGCGCCCAGTGTGGCCCCCAGCAGCCTGTGACTGGGCACAGCAGGACATGGGCTGGTGTGACTGCAGAAGTAAAGCTCGTATTTTGTCTGACCTAATTCCAACTTAGGTATAAATCACTGCAGATGGCTGTGGCCTCTGTATTGGACAGCAGCCATCAAGGTGGATGCCGATCTTACCTCTCCTCCCTAATCAAAGCATGGAAATGTTTATGGTAACCCCGGAGGTTTTTGGCTCACAGAAGTGAAGCACAGACTGTCTCCTCTCCCTCCTCCCATCCAAGCTTCTTCCCCTCTCTGTGCTCTCCTGTCAGCCGCCGGCCTGCCTTGAGCAGTGAGCTCACCTCCAGCTCTTCGTCATTTTGCCCTCAGCCCAGTGGGTTAGGTTTCCTGCTTTGTGGTGAGCTAACTGAGCACAGAGGAGCAGAAGGCTTACTAGGTTACCTCTTCCCAGGCAAGGAGCAAGCGCTGCGCCATCTCCATAATTCAGAAGTTACAACTGGAGCAGCAACACGGCACGGGAGCATGGGTGGGCTCGCTCTGCATTACCCATTTCCCTCCTGAGCCCTCCTTACTCTGCCGCCTGGCCCCGGCTGAGCGGGCTTCTGGGTAGAGGCAGTTCTGTGCACCCTGAATGCAGCCTGGGTGACCCACTGCCCGTGTCCTGGCCTGTGGGCGGGGCTGGGATTGGGAGCTGACGCTTGCTGATCTCCACTTTGGTGTTTTGTTTTGTTTTTTCTGTGTCCTGCCTTTGCCAAGATCTGATATCAAAATAACACACACGCTGAGCAGGATGGTGCTCGCCTGTAATCCCAGCAGTCTGGGAGGCTGGGGCAAGAAGATCACAGGTTCTTTTGGGCACTGTAGTGACTTAGTGAGATCTTGTCTTAAAGTAAAAAATAAATTGGGGATGCAGCACAGAGTTAAACCCCTGGTTCAATCCCTAGAACTACCAGAAAAAGACTCGCCTCTCATTCCTTGAGAGCTCCTGGTCTCGGTAGGACTCGGGCGGCTGGCGTGTCTGAGGCTGCTAGGCCAGCGCTCCGTTCTTGGCCGGTTTACAGCATCCTTTGCTCATTCTCAGATGCACAACTCAGACAAGATGCTGCCACACCTGCCTGGCCTCGAGGACCTCGGGGTCCAGGTGACGCCGCTGGAGTTCAAGGCCATTGAGGTGCTGCGGCACCATCGCAGTTACCGCTGGCTGTCGGCTGAACTTGAGACTGTGAAGCCCGCCAAGACTGTCGACTTCTAGGCCCTGCTTGGCTCTGGGTTCCAGTGTTGCTCGAGTTGCCTGGCTGGCGAGAGTCTGCGATTGCTAGAGGACCCTGTACTCAGTGCTGAGATCCGCTAAAACATCTGAGGCTAAATTCCACAGCACTCTCCTGGGTTTGTAAGTGAAAATCCCAGCCATTTAGAGCTTGAGCATAGTTTTCTTTAAATACATACATGTATGTATTTAGTAATGACGCGCATGTCATTTATTCTCTGAAACGCCAAAGAGTTGAATTTCTGTGTACTGAATCAGAATCATGCATCTAGCGCGTGTTCTAGAAAACCAGCCCCCTTCCAAGTCAAAATAGGTGATGATCCCAGGTGACACGGGGTTGTCTTCAACTTGAATGGGGATGTGTACAGCATCCTGTAACTAATTTGAGTTCATTCACGCTTCAGGTGTTTTTAAATTTAAAGATACACTTTAAACAGTGGTACATGTGAAGTATGGTCAGAATATACGGTGAATATTTAATGTTTAAATGCCTGGCAATAAAAGACAACATTTCAGTTAATCCTCCTCACAGTGACCCCCTGCTTTGAACTCCTTATCCCATTGCTTTTGCCACTTTCTGAAGCAGTTCTGATCAAAAATACAGTGAATGCTGCTGCTGAGCGCCATCCAGCAGCAAGGCAGCTCGTAAAGCATTTCACTGTGTCCTCATCCACCTCCTTAGCTGGACCTGGCTTCATGCATCGCCCAGCTCCTCCCAAAGCCGAGATGACCATGAAAGGTAAACAGTTTGACTGCGTTCAGGTCACAGTGGCAGCCAGGACAGCGCAGCTAAAGACACGAAAGAGGACTCCAGAGCTGCTTCAGAAGGGGCAAGGGTGATGGATGAGTGTGTTCTGAGTAGCAGCGCTTTGTGTGAGATGAATGGCAGTGTGGCGTTCACTGTAATTATCTTTAAGTTTGGACATTCACCTTATCTTTTGATCACCTCTCTGTCTGTAGACAAAGGATCTCAAACCCTTACCATCTTGGATTTTGAGCTATCTGAGGCCTCCTGCCCATTCTAGTAGGACCACATCTAGATTATTGCAGACATGCAGGTATAGACTCTTTTCCCTGTAAAAGGGATGTCTCGGCCTCTTTGCTAGTGATGCCAGTGCTTAGAGATCAGAACTTTCAGTTGAAGTTGTTAATTTTGCAGCCAAGATCTAGGAAACAATTTGTTTAATTGTTGGCAAATCCCTGAGTGCTGTCTGATTAAAATCTCCCACAATCTGTGGTGACGCCAGCACATTGCCGTCCTCGGTATCCAAGGTTGGTCAATGTTCTCCCCTGGATTTTGGCTCCCTAATCTGTGGATGGAAAGATCCCTAGACCCTGCCGGGGTGCAGCAGCATCCAGGGAAGCTGCCTCAGTGTTGAGGAGAGTGCTCTGCTGCCCTCTGTGTGCTCCAGGATCTTTTGTCCCAGAGCAGCAATCGTGTAGCCTGTGCCTCTGCAGCCTCGGGCATCTGTGCAGCTCGCTGGAAATGTGGGTGCCCAGGCCCCCTACCCCATCTGCTGGACCAGAACCTGCAGTCGGTCGGGTGTCCTGGTGGCCCTTGTGCCCACGAAAGCATGGGAAGCCGCGCTGTCCAGAAGAGCGCCGCAGGGCATGTGATGGGGAGGATGACCCGGAGTCCTGAGTGTTAACATGCGGTCTCTTCTTGTGCACGTGAACATGTGAGACTGTGATGGGGAGGATGACCCGGAGTCCTGAGTGTTAACATGGGGTCTCTTCTTGTGCACATGAACATGTGAGACTGTGCTGGGAAATGGAGCCCAAGTCCAGCTTCAAGCGTTTTTCTTCAGATCAATATCTCTTCATTTTGGATAAGACACTTGCTGGCCATCAGTGGTCAGCAGATGCACAGAAGGGCAGGTTTGATTTGAAAACAAATAGTTCTGTGAGGTATAGCACCCTCTCAAAAAATCTGCATTTTCCAGGCAACATTGTTCTCTGCATTGTATCATAACTCATAACTACCTGTTTTCTTTCTCTAAAACTAATTCAGCCAGGATGCATTTCTTTCCCAGTGTCCCCTTTTATAACAAGTATTTTATTATCCTGGTAGGAAAATCCTAGTGGGATATTAATCCTACCTGCCTATGCAGTCAAAATTAAAGGAGAGTATTGCACACGGAGATGCCCCGTGGGTAGGGGTGGACACAGTGATGGTGAAGGCACAGTGGGTTTCAGTTGCTCCCATCTGCGTGGCCCAGCCTGCTGCATGCTGCAGCCAGATGCAGACTGGCCCGATGCTGGGTGGGTGGTGTGGCCCCTTAAATCTGTGCGTGCCATCATGGAAGTAGCAAATGCCTTCTCATAGAGTTCAGAGCAGACAACATATAATTGTGTCAGTCACTGTCTCATTACTGTGACACACCAGACACCCACAGCTTACAGGAGGGAAGGTTATGTCGCCTTGTGGTTGTGGTCCATGTTTGGCTGGCCCCAAGGGAGAACATGGGCCAGTGCAGGGCCTGGGTGGAGGAGAGTTGCTCACCTCATGGTGGCCCTGAAGCTGAGTGAGGAGGAGGAGCCCAGGAGGCAGAGGTACCTTCCAGGTCCCGCCCCAGCGACTGCCTCTTCTGGCGGGACTCTACTCCTGAGAGCAGTCAGCTGGGTCACTGTCCAGAAGCCCGGCCTGTGAGTACATGTGGCCTTTGAGGGATATCCTTAGTCTAAGCCACACCAGTAACCCTCCCAGGGTGACTGTGTTCTTGGAAAACTGGCATGTGTTAACTCATACCAAAGATCCCTTATGTCCATAAAGTGTGGATTCCAAGTTAGATGGCTGTCAGTTGGTGTTAGAGCCCTGTGAAATGTGTTTCATTCTTCATTTCCACTCTGGCACTGCGGTATGTGTGCCATTCCCAGTTGCTGCCCACTGGGCGTGAACAGAGCCCTTCAGGAGCGCGTGACACAGTGCAGCTTACAGCGAGGGTGCCGGGGATGACCTTTGTGCCTGGTGATAGGAGGAGGGTGACATTTACTCCTAATGAGTTCTTAGCTTAACTCCTTCACCGACCTGAACCACCAGTGGTGCACACGCCCCTGTCCCCTCGGGAGGCTCGTTTCCCCCGATGGGACTGTGCCAGGCCACCCAGTGGGGCACGCACCACCCTGGCTCAGAGCCACCTCAGGGAGATGTGCGCATTAGGCCTCATCATGAGCATGTGAATGGCAGGAAACTGATAGAAACAGCCAGCATTACACCTAATGTAGACTTTCAGGTTCCCTGGAGGGCAGTTAATTACATAGAAAATTTCAAATTATGTAATTTATTGAAGTAATAAAACTAGTATTTAAACTTTTAAAAGCTACCCACAAATTTGATTATGAACCCAATAGATTTAGCAGTTGCTTTTAAGAATTTATCATTGAGTTACTTAAAATTTTTAAGATGTTTTAAACTGCATTTTAAAATTTAATCATTCTTTTTGGAGTTTTATAACTGACCAGTACAATAAACCGTGTCAGGTACTTTAAAAATTCTAAAAAGCTAACAAATTAATTGTGTAGGTAGTGATCCTAAAAGCTAATAATTATAAACTTACTAAATTGCTTATACCTTTCAACTTAAAAAATGAAAGTCTAGTTTAATAAGTACACAGGTACATTGGCGTCAGGACGAGTCTGCCAGACTCCAGAGAACGTGTGCATGGAAATACATGCAGAGAGCCGGGAGAGCATAAGGAGAGCCCAGATGCTGGAGGCTCAGGGAGAACTACACTGTCCGGGGCTCCGCAGTGTGTGTGTGCAGCCATTCACAGCGGATGCCCAGCTGTGACAGAGTCCTGTGCGGAAGGGCAGAAGCGAGGTGTAGCCTTTCTCTTGGTGTGCAGCGCGGCTCAGATTTGGCTCCAAGTGTGCGCCCTGCCGCGTGCCAGCAGTGAGGTCTGGCAGAGCACCTGGCCTTTCCCCAGCCGTAGTCTCCTTGTCTGTGAAATGGGAATGATGCTGCTGACAGTCGAGGCTGCGGGAGGGGCAGAGAGTGTGTGTGAGAGGCGAGCCTGGCCGCAGTCGGCACTCAACATGAGCCCGCAACAGTCCCACACAATCTGAGTCCACACACTTGTTTCCGGACTTAAGGCAGCAGCTGTCATTCCCAAAAGGGACTCAGGGACCCTGTTTTGTGGGTGATGAACATGAGGACTGGTAGATGAACCGTGCCGGAGTGTAGTTCGTTTTCTGGCCTGGCTCTCACTGCAGAGCCGATGCCTTGTTCCAGGAGGGTTAGGGCGCTCGGGAGAAGATTACCTTTCTCCTCTTTCTCCCTACTTTTCTCTTTCAGTACAAGGGATTGAACCCAGGGCCTTCACACTGAGCTACTTTCCAAGCCTTTTTAAATTTCCAGATAGCATCTCACTGAGTTGCTGGGTTGCCCAGGCTGGGTGCAAACTTGTAGTTCTCTGCCTCAGCCTCCCAGAGTTGGGGTTACGGGTGGACGCAGCACACCAGCTGACTTACATTCCGGAAGGTCTTCATGAAGGGCAGTTGGGATGGAGTGGAGGACTTTGCTGGGGAAGCCTTTCCTGAGCAGGGAAGGCCCGAGAGAGGAGGGCAAGGGTTCTTATATGTGGAGGTTAGGGTGTCAGAAACCAGCCCAGAGTTAGAGACTTCTATTGAGGAGGTCACCGAGGGGGAGGAAAGGGCGGTCCCGCAGAGGAGTGAAACCAGGATGAAGCCTGAACTTAGCTGTGCTGGGCGGAGTGCACCCTGAGGGAAAGGCAAGAGGCTGTGTGGTTAGCGTCAGGGCTCGGGAGGACGGGCCGTCTGTGCTGGCGACTGGCTTTACTGAACGGCAAGATGAACTTCTCTCCAACTGGAAGTCATTGTGCAGCTGGGAGCCAGTTGCTAGCCAGGCAGGTAGCTTACCTAGCAAGTGAGGAAGAAGACAGCCTGGCCGGCCTGATTCATTTCAAAGGGCAGCTCCAGGTCCATTAATTGGAGTGAAACTGGCAAGAGGCCAGGTGAAGACTTACTCCCAGAGGGGCAGAGAAAGGGTTCATAACCACTAGTTTTCCAAAGAAAATGCTCTAGGAAAAGAGAGGTCAAGCCAGGGGCAGGGGAGCAGGTTTGTAATCCCAACACGTGGGAGGCTGAGGCAGGAGGATCAAGAGTTCAAGGCCAGCCTGGGTTAGTTAGCAATAACCAGTCTCTGGTGTCCCTCTGTCTGGAAAGAGATTGTTAGGCTCAGAGTTAGGAAGAAGCCTGTCTCAAGTTCTTTCACGCTGAAGGGAGTATTAAAGCTTGCTGCTGTCTTGGTCAGGGGCATCCACAGTTTTACGTCCCTCAACACGAGCAGCCATGACGCTGGGGCAGGATGGGGGCGCTGAGGAGCGACGCCTATTCGGGGCCGTGCTTTGCCTGTTAGTCGCAGAAGCCCCAGCCGCAGGGATGGCACATTTGTAGTCCCGTTAGGTCCTGTTAGGCCTGTGCCCAGACTGTCCCTCCAGAGCACAGTGGCGCCTAAGTGGCCCAGTGTGTCCGTCTCATTTACCGAGCTGCCACCCTCCTGGTGCCATA